ATTGACCGTTTCTTAAGTACACAATTCTCGACCCCGAACGGCTTCTTATGCTTTCCTGCAGCGGCTTGTTGAGATTTTGTTCGTGTGTTTTGGAAGTCTGAGCTACGCGGAGCCAACTCTGGAATATGGTATCAGGGAGCGTGCAATATCAGTGGAGTTAGTCCAACCGTCACTACTGAAGGTCAGCGTGTTGATATTTTTATCTGACACTAATGCTTTCCTTCCGGTGCGGTAGTTTAAGACTGGCTTTAACTCCAGTACATGTGTCTGCCCCAGCCAAGTACAACGTATTCGGGTCTTACTGTTTACTCTCGGATTTCCTTCAACTCAAGTGTCCGTTGGCCAGGTGTTCCCGGATAGCGACCACACTTTATTACATTGCTCTGTTTAGCTAAACCGACCTCATGCCTATTCCACAGGAACAGATGCGGTCGTAGTCTACTGCGCGATGCACGTCATTAACTGGATAACCTTTTCCTTGCTCGCCAGATCAAGGAATTGGGGTGAATGCTTTATATCTGATCCCCAGGTCGGTCGGCTGAACTGTTTTATGTAGAAATGCTTCACTGTCTCGATTCGCTGGCTCCCATTTCGCCTATAATAAGGCACTCTTGCAAAGCTATAACCCAGTATAATGTGTATAACGGAATGCGTCAGCTTAGACGATCATACAATATGACATTCAACCTTGTTTACGTCCCGCAGGTGCTGCATTAAATAATGCGAAGAAAGCTAAGAAACCAGGTGGGCTGCTGCGTTCTTGGACCCCTAACGACGGACGACAGATCACTACTCAAAAGATTCGTCCCGACACTTCAAGTAACGCAAGAAGTATAGGGGAAGTATACGGCCCGCACTGTAAAGAAGTACAGTGCCTAGAAATAGGTTCAACCAATCAGGCGCTGCTAGTGTCTGGTGGCCAGCACTGACTGGTAGAGTTTGACATAATAGGATCCGTCCTGCGCTTTTAACCATCTAGCCATCTTAGTACCCTGATCCAGACGGAATACCGCCCATTCTAATTAATAAATAAATAAATATAAATTGTATATTCTCGGTAAAACGAGACACACCTGTAAAGGCTTGATCAAATATGCATACAAGCATAGCTTCTGTGGAATGTTAAAACATTTCGTTTTAATGAAAGGTATAAAAGAAATGATGTTGTCCGTATGAGTGAGCATACTGTCAGGTAATAGTCGGACCCAGGGACAATATGGCGCTGTGGCGCGCAAAAATCCGTCAAAACACAAGTTGGGGGTAGTTTCGCCAGGTGGTGATCCGTGAGCACAGAAGCCTAAAAAAGGTTTTTTGCAACCAATAACCATTACGAGATAGGGATGATCTGTGCTCTAAATGTTAGACCATAGGACGTAAATAATGCTTGTTTCCACGTCTATTCTTTGCGGCCCTGTTTGTCTCTCACCTTCCCTTTCTCCGAGGTCTGGAACTTCTTGGGAATCTGGGATCGGAATGTGAAAGAGCTCGTGCCTGGGACAGGACGTAGAAACCCCCAAGGACCTACATAGAACACGGCTGTACAACAAGTGGCTAAAAATGCACTCACTACCATGACCGTCGTCCAGTAATGGTAGCTGGACATGACGCCTTTATACTCCTGCGAAGTATACATAATCCTGTAAATTCTAGAAGCAAGAAACGGAAGTTTTGCTCACCTGGACACGAAGATGACAAAGGTCTAACCCTCCATAGGCCTCACCCATTATGGCCGCCCGACCAAAAATAACCTGTTCGGCTAACGGAGGAAATTAGAAGGCAATTGACGGCGGTTAACCGAGGGTTAAATCAGTCGACGAGCTGCTCTGCCAGTTTTACATTAGTGTACAAACGGATTTCTGACAGTGTTTCAGGACGTGGTGGGTTTTCGCCTGGCAAGCGTTCTCCCTATAAAAAGCCACAAATGTCCGCTTAACAACACTGTGACGTGGCGGATGTGACTCGCCACTGAATAAAGTCACTGCCCACAACTACGTACTGGCAAGCCGACCAGAATCCTAATGTAATATTTTCCTGACAAGTTTTCTCTACAAACGGAATGACCAGCCTGTTTACACCACGCACACTAGAACTCAACTTGTCGTCATGCATTGACGAATTTATACCTCAAGATTAATTTTACAATTTCCAAAGCCTGCACAACTTTCGGCTTACTGCCGATTACATACATAGCAACGTGTTTGTTGCGAAATCATAATTGCTTGTAAACGTTGATCATGCCTGGTCTGGTGTGTCTCGGAAATTCGAGAATATACTATTTTTTTAGTTTTTATTCTTTCCAAGAGCCATATCACACTGCTTGAGCAGCAGCTAGTCGCCGTAGCTTCCATTTAACTTTGCGGATATCCGGAGCTCGCTGGTATGCGCTCCCTTCTTACAGTTTATTCTCTTGGATTGTTTGCGTCACAGCTCAGCTGGTTTGTTGACCTATTCTGTGCCACCGTAGGATCCACTAGTAACTGAAGCCTTAATCCGAATTCTATTGCTGGCCACTCATCTCTCTCCTAGCGCGCCGTTATCCGTCGTTCGTCTTACTCGCGTCAACTCTTCTTGACAGCAGCTAGTCATTGTTGGCCCCATGTAAGTATGGAGTCACTTCTTTGCTCCACTACTTTTTTCTAGAAGGTTTTTCTCTATAATCGCTTGATCGTTCATTTACCTATTAAAACTGTAGGGATCCAGCATGTGGTCAAACGCCTTAATGATATGGCTACACCAGCCACTGATACATCCTTTCCTATAGCCACTATCTCTGCTCAGCAGCAGCTGGTCGCTGTAGGCTCTATTCAACTTTGCGAATACCCGTAGCTCGCTAAGGGTCAGTCCTTCCGTAGAATGTTTATTCTCTTGGTATAATTTTTCACAGCTCAGCTGGTTTGCTGTCCTATCCTTTGACACTGTAGTTATTCAATAGTAACTAGAATGATTAACCCAACAGGCACTTTTGGCCACTGAAACCCGGTCCATTATCGCTATCTTTTGATCGTCTTACCTTCAACACTTAGTCTTCCTTTCATATCCATTTAATCTTAGCCTGCTTCTAGTATGCTCAGCTTCCTGTCTTCATATACCCATGTACATTATAGTTATTGTGTCTTAGGTAATCCTTATCCCGTGGAGCATATATAAATACGGCCACATCGTCACTGTATCTTTTGGTTTCCGATAACAACCAATCGTGACTACACACCCACCTTCTAGTCTCAGGTAGAATTCGAACATCGTTAGCTTATACCTTATACATTTTTTACTGGAATCTTGCTCTTTATCCTTATGCACATGAAAGTATTTTACTCATTAGGCCATGCCTTCTGCGTAATTAAAAACATCTTTAGCGTAATATCTGTTACACATTGTACACTAGTTGTCTCAAGTAAATGTCTTAAAGTGGGATTTTGATCAAATGCTAGGTACGTTGACTATCCTTTTCGGTCTTCTCTCGGCCTGTAACTCTCCCCATTTTCTCTGAGGTCGTGAACATCTGAGAGATCCGGGATTGAACTGAGGAACTGCGTCCGTCTATGATGGGACGAAATAACCAACAAGAACTTACCTGGACCATGGCTTCACTTCCATTCTAACCATCTGCACCCAACCACCGATGTCCAGTGAGGGTAGCTGGACACGAATTCTTCACTCCCCGGCAAATATACATAATCAGAGAAGACTTCACGTGGTTCTGCAAAGGATCAACACATCATATTCAAAAAGAATGTTTAGTACCCGAACTACCAATGGACAGGACCCAGGAACGCAATAGGCAACCAGCTATGGCATCAGCCAGCAGAAAAATGGGACGCAACCTGACTGCGAATAACCGAGCAAACAAACGTTCAACAAGAAACATAGCCAGTTACAATTTGCCATTCAATGGATTGGCGGCAGTGTTCCAGGACGTGGTGGGTTTTCGCCTGGCAAGCGTTCTCCTATAAAAGCCACAAATGTCCGTTTAACAACACTGCAACGTGGCGTATGTGACTCGCCACCGAATAAAGTCACAGCCCATAACTTCACACTGGCAGGTCAACTATCGTCACAATTCTAGATAGGATCGTTACACTGGAACTTCTACATCTGCATATACTGTCGTCTTTTTACTTCCTACGATACGTTGACCTTTGCCTTACTTGTGCAAGAACTCACTCTGTTGGCATATATCTCTTGAGCGTGCTCTTCCATTACCTTCCAATGGATCATTCAGGATTCTCAATCTATTATTAGCTGAGGTCCCGTATCTCATGACAGCCAAATTATTGTTTCGCATTTTACCAATGTACAGTTCCAATCATGGACATATGAACAATTTTCTACTGTCGCTGTTACAGTTGCCATAAAATGATTGTACAGTTGAACATATCTGATCATGCAGGGCCTATATGGGGCGAATGAATGCTCGCGCATTGGCAAGGAAGTAATAGATATTGGGTAGATTTATTTTTATTTATTGTATGGTGCACCGCTACCCTGATGCCATATTCCAGAGTTGGTTCCGCGTCGCTCAGACTGCCAACGCACACGAACAAAATCTCAACACGCCGGGACTGTGTGATTGGAAGTCGGAAAAACTGGTATGGTTTCGGTAGGTTCCGTGGTACAAATCGTACATAGCAACGGTTGCGTAGCGACATTGCTAAGGTGGATGATGTGTGAAGATGGCAAACTAGGCTTTGAAAATGACATTGTATGTGAGTTACGATGCTTTATAAATGATACCCTATGCTGGTTCATGTGGGAGTATTTGTTTTGGTTTTTCGGTCGCCATACTTGTTTTTCCTGCTATCGGCATGGTTGTCGATGATAGTGCGCTGTTCAGGTCAATGGTTATTGGGAAGTATGAGACTGTAGAGGACCTTGTGAAGCGGGTGCAACGTTTTCAGATTGCGACGGCGACTTGTTTTTCCCGTGCATGTTCGAAGTCTGCTGCGGCATACCATCGTGGAAGGAGGAAGCCGGTTCCCGATGGGGAACGCTGCGGTTACATCATGTACCGTTGCGTTCATCGTAAACGTTCAGCACCACGTGGCAAGCGGTAAGTTGTGTTAATCTTTTGCATCAAGGCTACTAACGCATGTAGATACAAATCATACGATTGCAAGGCTCGGTTCTCGGTGGTTTTGAAAGATGGGAAATATGTCGTTGGGAGTTACGTCATGACGCATAGTCATGATTTTCATGTTGGCAACCCATGGTTGTATGCAGCGAACCGTCGTCTGTCTCCGGAGCAAGAGAGGGAAGTTCTGCGTTTGATGGGCAGTTTCCATAGTACCCCGGATTTGCGTCATTTTATTTACTTGGAGTACGGAAAAATGGTAACTCGTCTGGACCTGTACAATTTGCGGATTCGTCATCGCAATGGGAATGCTTGTGAAGTGTCTGATGTGTCAACGATGTTGCAAGAGCACGGTGCGTGTCGGTTGGTGTACGAGGGCAGTGAAATACGTTACGTGTTTTTCTCTCCATCCTTAGTTGGCGGCATTGTAAGTCGTTATTGTGAGGTGATTTTATGCGATGCGACCCATCAACTGAATTATGGCGGCTACGTTTTGTGGCACTGCATGCTGGTGGATGTCACCGGTCTGGGCATTTCCTTTTTCTATGCCCTATTACCGGATGAGACATCCTACAGCTATGGGCAGGCGGTTGAGGCGATGCGGGATATGGTGCCTAGCACCTTACGTTGCCGCACGGTGGTAATGGATAAATGCGCTGCTCAGATCCGCGCTTTCAGACGATTTTATCCGGACGCGAAGGTAGTTTTTTGTCGTTACCACGTGAAAGTGGACATGTCCAGACGTTGCGGCCGCTTACGCGGGATCTCTGATCCGCGTAGAATGCAATTACGAGGTTGGCTGCATAACCTCATATACACACGAGACGCCTCGGTGTTTGACAGCATACTGAACGCGGTGGGCAGGGCGTCTCCTGAATTGTACGGTTATTTGTGCTCGACGTGGATTCCCCACGCCGACTCTTGGGCGGCGCACAGACTCAGGGATACCATTCTATTTGGTTGCCACACCACCAACAGGGTGGAGAATGAGAACCGACATTTGAAGGAATACCTGTCTGAGAGGTCATCCCTACTCACCCTATTCAATTGCGTGGTTGATAGGGTGAACACACTGGTGCACCGAAGGAACAGCATACTAGGTAGGCGGTGCATGAGCGAAATTGCTGTTCCATCGGAGGTGTCCTCAGTCGCATCAGTATTCTGCAAACTAAGCGACTTTGCGGGGGATGTTTTCATGCAGCATTTCCGTACCTCGACGGTTCTCAGTTGTAGGGCTGATGGGCCTTACTGGTTGGTGAACTGTCCTCGTTCGAGAGTGCGCAGGGTGTACATAACGCGGGGCAGTGAATGCGATTGTGAGTTTCATCGGCAGTGGCGGCTGCCATGTGCTCACATTTGTTATGTGGCGGCTCGGCACCCTCACGCTGCGCGGAACATACTTCATGGATGTCGCTGGATCGCACCCCGGCTACCTGCAGCAGCGTCATCGGAGTCCGTTGCGTCAGCTGAGAGGGTGCAGATTGTGCAACGTAACGCGGTGGATGGGGATGCAGTTTTGAACCGCACCTTGAAACTTCGCAGGACGCAGCATGTGTTAGGGGACATTGGTGCTCAACTGGTTACGTACGGCTCGCAGAACTTCTCAGGTGCCTTGAATTACCTCAAAATGGTTGCCTTGCTGATGTCCAAGGACCCCACTTTCCAGTTGTATGGGCGAACCTCAAGGTGGCCTGTACCCCTTCATTTGGATACCGAGGAGAACGTGCGAATGTTATGCGGCTTTCCTACTGCGGGGACGTCTGCTGCTGGCTCAGCGTCTGCGGTCTGCCCGACGTCGACGGGAGAAGCGGTTGGCCCTTCGCAAGGTACGCAAGTGAATGAGGCGGTGCGTGGGAATGAAACCGAAACACCTATACCATCCACATCCACAGGTGTATCCAGGAAACGGAAATCGCCCCTTAAGTGCAGGGTGACAGAGGTCAGCCCGGATAAGAGTGCGCTAAGGGGCAAACGATTCCGTATCCTTCGCACTCGGACATCCAGGGGCTACCGTGTTCCTGTGAGCCAGAGACGGGGAACTCACGGCTTCCTTTCGAAGGATTTGTGCGGAGTATGTCAGCAAGAGGAGGATGTTGATGGCGATGGAGAATCGGTGCAATGGGTACAGTGCGACGCGTGCTCCCACTGGTACCACGCGTCCTGCGTGTGCTATTCCGGTTCGGAGGAATTTCTGTGCTTCTCGTGCTCGTCCTAAGGTTACCGTAACGTGCCTAATCGCGGTTGCACGGCACACCCCTCAGGTATGTACCTTATATGTGCGCTAACCGTGATTTCATTTCCGTTATAGCATGCTGCCTTTACTTCCCCTTGATATCAACACCTTTGATTTTCAATGGAACAATGCACCGATACGTGTGCAGCACGGAGGAAACGTGCAACGGTAAGTTACTACTGGTAATCCGTTTACGGACGGTCGTTTAGGCACCGTAATGCGGTTGTCATGTATGCAGTGGGTCAATGGCAGGGCATGAGCTATTACGTACCGGTAGGTAGATGGATACATGTGTGTAACACATGCTGACAGGACGTAAAATTTCCTGGAAGCATCCTCGCATTTATTTTCTTCCGTTGCTTGATGCTTGTCCATTATCACGGGAACGCATGCACACGGAGAAATGTTATTCCATTACGCGCTGTCATATGTCATCGCAGGTAAGAAATAGGATACATGTGTGATTTTGTGCTGCAGTTGAACCCACCTGTAACCCCGATGGTGTGCTGATCAGTGTGGTACACGGAGCTACCTTGGTCGCTTTGCCAATGTCATATGAACCTGCCATGACAGAATTTCCCAGGTAAGAAATCCGGTTTATGTGCAGTGGTGTTTAACAGTGAAGCCCACATGCACCCCCATACGCTGCGCATTCTCTGGCGCCAATGAGGCACCTGTGACGGATTCAACACCGCAATGTCAACCTGCAGTCGGAGTTGCTCACAGGTAATGAAAACCATACTGCTGTCATGTGTTATTATAATGAAGGCCATACGCACCGCCCAATGATTGTTCTGTCACTGCCGCTACGTACCTGACTCCCACGCATCGCCCACCACTATGTTCACCTTCAATCGCACTTGTTCGCAGGTAAGGGACGCCATTGTTCTGTAATATTGCTTTACAGTGATGCCCACATGCACCGCCCAATGATTGCCCATTCACTGCCGCCGCCTACCTGACTCCGACGCATCGCCCACCGCCATGTTCCCAGGTGAGCGACGCCATTGTTCTATAATGTTACTTTACAGTTTAGCGCACATGCACCGCCCAATGCTTGTCCATTCACTGCCGCCGCCTACCTGACTCCGACGCATCGCCCACCGCCATGTTAACCTTCAATGCCACCTTGTCACAGGTAAGGGACGCCATGCTTCCGTAATGTTTCTACAGTGATGCCCACACGCACCGCCCAATGATTGCCCATTCACTGCCGCCGCCTACCTGACTCCGACGCATCGCCCACCGCCATGTTAACCTTCAATGCCACCTTGTCACAGGTAAGGGACGCCATGCTTCCGTAATGTTTCTACAGTGATGCCCACACGCACCGCCCAATGATTGCCCATTCACTGCCGCCGCCTACCTGACTCCGACGCATCGCCCACCGCCATGTTCCCAGGTGAGTGACGCCATTGTTCTATAATGTTACTTTACAGTTTAGCGCACATGCACCGCCCAATGCTTGTCCATTCACTGCCGCCGCCTACCTGACTCCGACGCATCGCCCACCGCCATGTTAACCTTCAATGCCACCTTGTCACAGGTAAGGGACGCCATGCTTCCGTAATGTTTCTACAGTGATGCCCACACGCACCGCCCAATGATTGCCCATTCACTGCCGCCGCCTACCTGACTCCGACGCATCGCCCACCGCCATGTTCCCAGGTGAGTGACGCCATTGTTCTATAATGTTACTTTACAGTTTAGCGCACATGCACCGCCCAATGCTTGTCCATTCACTGCCGCCACGTACCGGACTCCGACGCATCGCCAACCGCCATGTTCACAGGTAAGCGACGGCATGCTTCCGTAATGCGTGCGTGATGAGTGCAGAACTTCCCTCTCACACCCGGATGTGTGTTGTCCGCTGTATCGCCATGGGTACCACCGAGCACCGGTGAATCATCATGTCACCTTGCCAGGTGAGTGCGGTCTTCGATTACTAACTGTCGTAGGCTTTCCCACGTTGTATCGCAATTGCCACGGTTTGCCGCGGGCTGGGGAGAACAAGTTGTCGTCGCATCTGTATGTGGTGTAGGTCCTCCGGTTCTCACCTTTTTGCTGCTGTGAACGACCCAACGGCCCTTTTCAGGGCCACCCCTGTTCTATGTCCCCGCGTCTCCCCTAAACGGGTTGCAGCACGGGAAACATACGTTCAGGGGTGGGGTCGGTAACCGTCGGAACTTCAATTGTCAGTCACCATGCACTTCACTTTATGTTAATGTTTGACACATCATTGTGTATTTTGTGCGTATCAGCCCTGGGAAACCATTTTCCAGTGTTCACCCTTGGTGGGTTCAGAGCTAGATGCACGCTCACTCACCTAGCGGTGGACATTTCTAAATGGTCCAAACGTCCGTCATGTTCATAGGCAGTATTTCACCGATATCACTAACCAACTAACTGAGTAAGGAGGCAGTGATCATTACATGAACCAGCGTCCCTGGGACGCTTGTTTGATCTGCGGTGCCTATGTAACAAACCTTCCATGATTTGTACATATTATGATATAGCATATATAGCATATATATATATATATATAATTACATATATATGTGTGTGCCCCATGATAACGGTGATGTTGCATTCTTGATGCATCTTCACCGCAGTGGGGATAAACCAACTTACACTGAAACCACGTCTCTTTAAGCTGCATACATTTCACTCCACTTCACTTGGCGACTTTTGACTATGTTAATGGCTTTCCATCACCTGGACACGTCCATTAGGCTAATTACCCTTATCTTCCGTAAATTTTGTTCCCTTTGTAACATTTTAGAACAGCTTGTGGACATTTTCTCCTTATCGCGGATTCTTTGCTAACCCATTTACCTCAATATGCTAATTCTGCGAAGAGTTATTACGCTGCTTCGGTATACTTTATTGTCTTTATGATATTTCATTTAGACATTTAAAGTGATTACCTGTTGCTTGATATCCACGGTGTGCCTGCGCTTGATGTGCATGTTGCGCATTAGCAAGGAAGCGCGGGCCGGCATAAGGCGGTAAGAGACAGAAACTACGGTACACGTAGTTGTCATTGATGTAGTGATGCATATATAAATGATGGTATACAAAGGTGGCGTGGCGAACCATGAATACTTCAATTGTTGGCTGGACAAAAGAGAGATGAGGTTACATGATGCAACCTCTGCAAACGGGAGCAGCGCAGGCATGCGATATGGTTTCTAATTAGTTAAGAGCCTAGAGACTAAAAAAAAGCAACGCGCAGATAGTCAAATGATTTTAGCGTGCTAACGGGACACTACACAGGTAGCAGAAAATATGGAAAAGCCAGTAAGGAACCTGCACTCCTATTACTTCCATGTTAAAGACAGGTAACTGACAGCTGGGCAGTTATCTAGAAGCGGCTGTGCGCTGACCTGATGACATACAGAACGTCGGCGTAAGAGACCCATAAACGTTGAATGACGAATGAATGAATGACGGAAACCATCCACCACGATGATGGAACGCCAACCATGCAAGTTCGACAAATATCGTCAAAAGGTTGAGCATACGCCGAACGATACATGGAAAACGGCATTCGGTATACATTACATTCTCATCTATCGCATCGGCGCCAACTCCCCGTCACATGTTGGGTTACAAAGCACAATTCCGGCTGACTGCGGACAATTATTTGCAAATGTCATCCGTACACATTGGCTTGTAGGAAGCTCACCCCGTCAATTACGTTATGCAATCCATGTTAGCAAATGACACCGCTACTAATATGCCCATGTCATACGTCATATATCACTCACACGTGTCTCCTCGTATGCGTGATGTCACGTTCTTCTTATAAACCATGTCATGGTATCCATATGCCTGTATTCTCTATCGAGCAACCAGTCTCAGCAAACTCATCACCTGTATACTGTCCCTAGTTATCCACATCAACCAGCCATTGCACTTAATGCGCCTTTCCATTGCAGGTACCTGCTGACGCAGTTGTACAGTCATGGTACCCTACTTGTTCCAAGGATCAATGAACCATTTCTCAGGCTTCCCGAATAGTGGGTATGGAGCCTTGAAACACATCACCCACAAGGTCGGGAATATTTGTGAATGGTTTAAACATCATCCGCCTGCAGTGTGGCCAATACCCTTCGTGACACAGTTCATACACGGAAGTCAACGAAACTGTTCTCAATACCAAAGGTTAGTAAGGTTCCCTGAGCATCCCATTTTTACCTGTGGCGTGCTGACAATCTATCATCCACCGTCAACGTTCATCACAGTAACATTATGTCACGCTTAAGTTTATTTACAACAACTAATTTCCCCGTACTCGTCCCTCCGCATTGCATGTGCACCGCCGTTCAGAAATGATGCCTCCGGTCTGCATGGGCAATTATAATAACATGGACGGAGTAAAGCCGTCCAATGCACTGCATACTTTCCAAACGATTCGTTGATTGTTTGTTTCTTGGAATCAAGCATGATGCATGGTAATACAGAAAGCAGTGCACCTGTTTGTTAGGTATACATGAACAGGCGCCCGGTGTCCTCCAAGTGACCATGACACATACCGAGGTTCCATAACACACAGGCAGCACCATAGCCCAGGGTAGACGGTGACTGATACACTGCGTACACCTATTGCCTGTGGTACCAAATCATGGGATTAACCCCTCCCAAAGAAACACCGTGGTGATTCGCGCCGACTTGCACAATTAACCATGCCGGAGCGTCTCCCCACACGTACAGCAGCGGCCATTTGATTAATCATTGATACATCGTAACTGATTACCATTGGTTTGATATCATTACTTATCTAGCAAAGCCCCAGTGGTATGCACAGTGACACACAATAGCAGACGTTAATTAGCTGCTGAGCACCCTATGACGATCAGATTTCACTACTTCTTGCAACATGCCATTCACGGAGCATTGCATTTGTTACTAAAGCGCATTACTCAATAATGTAAACGCAGTGATGATCGGTCGATTTCGTTACGAAGTGGTAAGCAAACAGGATTACTTTAGAAAGCCATCATACGAACAGGTAAATATTTCCAACCCATCTCACAAGGCATCAGGTATACCAGTGTCCTGCATTATATATACATATATATATATACATATATATATACGTAAATACATATATACACATGTACCCATATATTCCTTTTCCTACGCCATTTCATGCATACCTATTCGTTGAAGGCATACATCATTATATGCAAGTACAAATTGCTTACCCATCTGTGTAGGTATGCATGTATATTCCACCAATGAATACACATGTTCATCATATATATATATATATACACAAATATATATAGCTGTGTATTTATATGTTTCTACATATATATATAGATCTATACAAACATATGACGACAACATAGAAACTGGCATATACATATATATATATATGTTTATATTTATGCATATACATCTATATATATGTAGGTAGAAGGGGTATTATCAGGAGTACCTTTAAAACTATGTCTGTGTATTATTATGCATATACATATATATATAGGCGCAGGCGTCCTGTGACTGTCCCCATGGACATCACAGTGACAGGCAAATCGGGATACGGACGCCGCCTAATCATATACATATATATATATATACATATATATATATATATATATATATATATATATATATATATATATATATATATATAGAGAGAGAGAGAGAGAGAGAGAGTTACATGTGTGCCTTCCATATTTATGTATATACATACACACACATATATATATACATTTATATATAAATATATATATATATGGGGTTTATTCGTTTGGGTCAAGTAGGATGATTAAGCGCAATCAGTAAATTCGTTGACGGATGTTTACGTGTTTCCCAAGGTTAATGCAAATAAGAATGTGTGTGCATTTGCTAAGTTGCCGGCATACATGTCAAATTGGGTTAAATAAGAACGATTATATATATATATGTATACATATATATATATATGTATACATATATATATATATGTATATATATATACATATATGTATATACGCCTTATCATTTTACCCCTTCTACATGAACGCGGACAAATTAGCAAATGCACACATATTCTTATTTGCATTAACCTTGAAAAAAAGACGTAAACATACGTAAACAAATTTATTTAATACCATTATTCATCCTCATTGACCAAAAAAAATGAAACAAATGGCCCGCATCCTATTTCAATAGTAAACATTTACCAGCTCAATAACACTACAAAAGATGTTAGTAAGCCACTATTCCTTATCTGATTGCTGCACGTCTCTCCCTATGCCATTAAACATGCACACACTGATGCCTTCCTCATTATAGTTCTCCGTTTCTTACTTCTGCAGATACACAACATTAGGTCTCATTCCACGTTATCTTCAAAGCATCAGCAGTAAGTTAAACAATTACTATTTACGCAAATTTGTTCCGTACCATTAAAAAGTACCATTAAATTGCCTCCAAATGTTCCATTTCATATCACCCATGTACATCACTCCTCCAATTAGCATTCCGTGTGATTTTGGTAACCTTTCACTTGATGCAACGTTATAAGTCTTTTCCGTTTCGTATCTACAGACAGTTTTCGTATTTAAGTACGTAACATTTAGAGCGATTTCCGACGCCAAAATAATGCCACAATTCCTAAACGTTATTTCATCCCATTCATATCGGTTGACTTTCCGCCACAATCACGACCTTACTTATTTTAACCCCTTTGACTCAGTATAATGTCATCACATCATAAGTCATCCAGTATTATTAAACGATTCATCTTAATTTATATTACCTATTCTTAGTACTATGAACGCAATTTCTTTCAGCCCACTTATAGATGTACCAGTAGCCACCGAAAAATTTCAAATTTTTCCGCCGATTTCCCATCAGACTTTCCCCCGATTATAACATACACGTTTCTTATTGACGCTAATTATGTGCCCTAACATAACAACTCATTAAAACCGAAACTTACGCCACTCCAGAAACACAACCTAGTGTTAATTAAGCATTTTTTCATACCTTGTTCCCATTACGCCGTAACTCTTGTTTACCTTTGCATCTTTTTGTGATTGATGTACGCTAGTTCAACGGCCAGAAACTTAATTTCGCGCCTGATACCGATTCTACCTTCCCGACAGAGCGTCGATCGCAGTCGAGTCGCGCGCCAAAAGCCGAGATCATTTTCCTGTTTCCAACAAATGAGAACAACGTTCTAACATGCGTAAAGAATAGTTCCTTAATACATAAGAAAGTTATAATTTGAATATTTTAGAATAGTTTTCGCAGTCATTGGACCACTGGATCATTGGATGATGGAGAGCAGAAGGAACATCCTTCGTCGGCTCCTTCACTTCCCGATCATTGCGGAGATGGCATGGATCATTGCGGCAGAAGTTTACAGCTCAGTCTACCTTAGTAATAAAATCTTAGCACCACAACAGAACTCAGTATCTGCGCGCATCTGACTCATTTGCTGCGATGTCCTCGGCAGACTTAATTTATGCATGCACTCCGACTGTTTGATGTCCTTCCATATAAACTTTTCAGCTCTCTAGCACTCCTTCCAACTCTTCAAGTCAATGCTTAGCCGTTACTTAGCCTCACTGTTCTAGACGTTCTCATATCTCTTAATTGTTGTAACGTCTTCGACTTTTCACCTGTAAGCGTCCAGCTATTGGACTAGCTTTCCCAAGCTCTTTCCAAAGTAGTATTATCCCAGCACCATAGCATAAATTGCGAACCTATACACCGCCGTGGTTCAGCATTATATGATAGACTCCCTCAATCAGTCTTCTATACTGTTGTCTTTTCTTTATCCGGCCTTCGTAGCTCTTGTCTGGCGACCTTCATTAGTTCATCCGGTCAGTGCACAGCTGCTCCTTGCTAGGTGCACAGCTGGCACTCGTCTATGACACCTAATTAATAGTAGTTCGGCATTATCACTGGCTTTTCCTGACTCAGTCTTCCCCAGTTTTATTCTTTTAGCATCAAAGCATGATCCTATTATATGCGCATCGCCTATTTTTGTTCTAAACTAGTTAAGAGCCTTAACGTATGCCTGGGATTTATTCGTTCGTTGTCCTTTCTTTATGAAGCCTTTCTTTGCTCTCTTCTGTCGTGCAGGCATATCCATGTATTCAGCGCAAGCCGCTGTTTTGCCTGACCCTTCTTACTGTTCATTTATTCCTTACTTGATGTATTGTCTTGGACCTTATTACCTGCAATCATCTAACTCTCGGGCTAGCATTCGCTGGCACTATCTAGCTTGGTACTATTATCTTAGCATCCTAGCTGCTGAGGTTAGGCCTCACTGCTCCGATATGCTAAGCAACCTAACTCTACGCTTGCAGTTCGGCTATTTCCTGCCCTTCCGTCCATTAATGTTTCTTAGCTTCTTAGTTCTTCCCCCCTCTCACTTGGTCAGCACACAGACGCCCGTTAGCTTCACATTTCTATGTGCTCATTTCTCACCATTTTCTTAGCACCTTAGTATGACTTGTTTCTCTGCGCGCCGCTATATATATTTGTTCCACACGTGCGCTTTCCCTTAATTGATCTTTAATACTTCATTTCTATCGATCAATCCTTTCACCCCTATTAATCTGGATCCGTTATTACAGCAAAGGTTTCGACACTTACCTTTGTAGGAGGTTGGCTCTCATAGGCTTTTCCTATTTCAATAGGCCATGGCACTATACTCCTGGTACCCTCGTGTCGTCTTTCTGTCTTGATAGCCCGATAATTTTTAATCAGCGAATCAGTCCTATCTATCCGCTGACTTACTATCTCTTTCGATGTAGGCTGGCCACCAGCCGTCCATCCACCATCCTTACGCCACTGGTCCCTGAACTCTGCTTTCTGTCCACGCAATAATCGCATCATAGTAAACTGATACTGCGTTTTTGCTTAATGGCGCAACGCTCTGTATTCCTAGTAAATAGTAGCTACCAACTTATAGGGCCACTGCTTTCGAAAAACATTCAAAAGACACTTTCAGAACAATCATTGCTGCACCTTCTACGTCATTTGTCCCTACACTAAATGTTATGACAGGAGTTTATTAATGTTTGTATCCACGCCGGTTCGTTGCGGCCTTGGTTGTCTCTCACCTTCCCTTTTCTCCGAGGTCCGGAACTTCTTGGGGATCTGGGATAGGACCGAGAAACCGCTTATGTCCAGGACAGAACAACCGATAAGGACCTATAAAGCACATGGCTGTACAAGAAACGGATACAACTGCACTCAATACCAGGACCGTTGTCCAGTGATGATAGCTAGACTCGAGAATTTCACACATCTGAAAAGAATACATACTCCTGAAAAATCCAGACGCAAGAAACTGATATTTTACCCACCTGGATACCCACAAAGACGATACTTCGCAAAACCCACATTCTTGATTCGCCCCAGCCATTATGGCGGTTTAGCCTAAACTACCGGATCAAATAACAGAGAAAATTGAAGGTCATTTGACTGCGGATAACTGAGTGTGAAATCAGTCGACTACCTGGTCTGCCAGTTTTATATTAGTGCACCGACAAATTTCTGACAGTGTTCCAGAACGTGGTGGGTTTTCGCCTGGCAAGCGTTCTCCCTATAAAAAGCCACAACTGTCCGCGTACCAACACTGCGACGTGGCGGATGTGACTCGCCACCGAATAAAGTCACTGCCCTGAACTACCTACTGGCAAGTCGACCAGAATCATTATTCAATATTGCCCTGTCACTTTCAATAATAAGTTACACTGTGCTTATATGTATCGTTTTCATTACACATGTAGTGCCCTGACTGTTTCCACTACGCACGCCAGAATTCACCGTTTTGTCATTCATTGAAGACTCTATCCCGTGACTACTTACACAATTTCCGCAGACTGTACAACCTTCGGCTTACTGCCGACTACACCCATAACCACGTGTTTGTCACGAAGCAATATTGCATGTAAATATTGATCATGCCTTGCTTGGTGTGTCTGGGCAAATTCGAGAATAAACTGTTTATATATTTATTTGGGCGGCTTTGGGCGGACCGCGTCGCACTCAGATAAAATGGAATATTCCAAATGGTGTTATAACGCCGGTTTTGGGTACCTCCTTGTGGGCGTCCGTGATCTAATGATAAGCACGCACCGGCTCGATATTTGAGCGCCATGTAGGCCAGCGGTAGGATCCTGTATGTGGGAAATATAAAAACGATCCGGAATTGTCATGTTATTGAGAGCACGGTAATCGCCTCTTGGTCGCCAGTCTCCCAATCCTTTCGGGACCTAGTGAAGGAGCGAAGAACAAGAGCCGCTGGATAGTCAGACGATCATGTGCTTGAATGCCGCACCGGCAGTTTTTAGCTTGTCCGGAGTCAGCCTTGTATCTTTAGCGGAGTCAGGTGGTCTCACGGTAACTATGTGATGCGGCGGAGCTGCGGCTGCAGTTGACAGAGACGATGAAGGGCGGAAGACTTCAGGAAAACTCTCGAGTAGCGCTTCGCCGGCCGGCAAGTTGGCAGTGGCGCACACCGGACTGAGTGATGGTAAGTTGCTGGGTATTCTAGCAACGGAAATTTTCGTTGTCTGATCGACGAGACGTTTAGCATTGAAGACCAACACAACGTGCTGAAAAAATCCGTCGCGATAATGGGATTATGGACGGCAGCAATAAGGAGTACCTACCGAAAAGGGCGTCGCAGGCCGAGGTTAATCGTGCGGGTGCGTTGATCGTGGACGCGGAGGTTAGTGTTGTTAGCTACACGTAGAAAACCAGTTACCTTTCAGGTTGCGTCGTTGAGGTAACGTGGTAGGACGCCGACATCTGCCCAAGTATCCACGAGATAGCGAACTCTCGTCTGGTCATGGGTGATGAAAAATAGGCGACAATAGACCAGCTAGGTCCGTCGCGCCTACGTCCTGGTCTGTCCGCTTCCATGCATATTGCGTTCGAAGGAACACCGTGGGTGGCAAGTCTGGGCACGCTGGCCAAATCGCTGATGGTAACGGTAGTAGAGGGACATTCGGCACGGTGCTTTCGACGAAGATTTTGCTTGAGATGGTCGTAATAGTTCAATAGTTCAATACTGTATGATGAAATAAAAAGCATTGGCTTTACAAGACCCACAGGATGGTAAATGCAAAATAGATAAAAATCATTAGATTCCGACATGGAACTGAAATGCCAATAGTCTAAACCTAGTACATCAAACCACAACGTGTTGTTTGTCACTCAGATGAATGTCTAACAATTGTTTGAAGGCTGTAAGGTTCAAAGCGCTTGCCACATGCGTTGGCAAGTCATTCCACTGTGAACAGATTCTAAGAGAGTAAAAATATTTTCTATAGTCTAATCGGAAGTGTTGGATTCTCATCTTGA